TGGTAATAGAAAGACATTTCCTTTCGATCGTCACTGTAAAATAATGCTAAACGGTATAGAACTTCTGGTCACGAAATTTCCGTGCGAAATATATTTTACCGACGAAGAGTTTACGTATCGAAGACACGATTGGAAAACACGAGTACACGTAAGTGAAATCTAGAACGAATTTGACAGATAACTGTACGAGATTAGTGGAAATTAGAGTAAGAGTTTAAATTAGCATCGCAAACTTATGTACGTTTACGCTGAGCTGTATCAAAACGGAACATCGTTGTAAACAGAAGTCAATCGAATCGATTGATATGCGATAGCTTCGACGCTACTTGAATCATATTTATTATACTTAACGTAAACGATAAGGTGAAAATGTTGGAAATAACTTACGCTACGTTTGCATTCATAGTGCAATAATACCGCGTACACAGCGACATCGTGACGTAACGAGTACTTCCCAAAAATAAAGCGTCGTCTTAAAAAGAAATATTTACAAAAAAAATAAACGCGAACGGGAATAGTTTTCTCTTCACTTAGACTGAAAATCACAAGCTGGCTATATAGCGTCTGCCTAAGATCGAAACAGCAACGGGCAGCTCGCAAGCGTTGATCAGAATTTTATCCGTAAGAACAAACAAAACTACTTCTTCCTTCGTCATTATTTTCGAAATATACAAACTTCAATAACGATACTATCTTTATGAAACTTACGTGAAATTACCATTCGACATGCAGTAACACCATGCAGACAGTGACATCGTGACAAGTACTTAACGAAAACGAAGCGTCCTCTCAAAATGAAAATTTAACGAAAAGAATATACACGAACAGAAATAGTTTCCTTCTCTCGCTATCACTTCGTGTCGTAAAGTGGTCATGCAACAACGTCCGTCGAAGAACGGAACAGCAAGTTCACATGCAGGAGTCGGTACTTATCCTAAAAAAGAACAAAAGTAGTTTTCGTCCTCTGCTCCGGGCACGAGTGTTTAAACCGTCAAACGAAAGCCGCGCTAACTCTTTCGATCAATCGACGACCGTAGAATTTGCAAATTAAAGATGAGCAAAAATGTAGCTTACATGGTCTGCCATTAGGGCGCGAATACATCTTTCGATCTCTGGTTTAAGTCTCCTTGGGTATACAAAATTGCAATTTAGAATAATTATGGATACGACTAATGTATACCGAAAGAGACCTAAACCAGACATTGAAAGGTACGCGTTATTCTAAATAATAAAGCTTGAAACGAGAATCGGCGTTCTCGATTCGACTTCTCGACTCACCGGCATTCAAATTTTCATTTTTATATACAAAGAGTAACGGTTACGTTTAAATGATTGCTCGTCTTTCCTTTGCGATTCGTGACGTTTATCTGGATGAGAATTTTGAGCAAGCTTGAAAAAGTGACGAATAGAAAACACTGTAGTTTCTATTCGTCCAACGTAATTTCAATTGAACGAAAGTTTCTTTATCTATTTCTTCATTTCGAATCTATGCTCTGAGAATTTTGGCCAATTTTTGGTGCAGAAACACCGGAGGGGCTCGAAAAATTCGAGGAGGAGACGAGGAGGAAAAATAAACTGTTCTTCGTAGGAATTTTCGTGGCATAAGCGCGGGTAAACACGCTTGAAAACGAAGTCACTCACGGGTTGCCGACTAGTTGGGAAGTCGACGTTAACCTGGGAACGCGATCCACCCGTGATTCACGGAACGCGCGCGATCCACGGAGTTCGCTAGAACGATCACTGGAGATCCAACGCGAGCCACTGAACACCGTTGCAACACTCGAATCCTTCGGGCCGGCCGACATTAAGGAAGGAAGCATGCGTCGAGCTTCCCTTTCTCCGTAAAACTCTTCCAAACACACGCCTGCACACCCACTTAAATACACACGCGGGTGGCGCGTGCGCCAACACACGCACATACATCACATCCCACGATTCACACACGCGTATATAGTCGATCGAGTAAACCGTGGTAAAGAATAACGCTATAGGAGGATAGGCTTGGTTTATTGGCGCGAGTCAAAGACCCGTGGCCACTAAATCGATCTATCAATTACTGGATGGCGCATCAGAGTCCCGTTGATTTCGCGGGGGGCGATATATGCGTCTCGGGTTGACACGCGAGGGACAAGCAAGATGAAAGCATCGACGGGGCTCGATCTGGATCGAATCGATTCGGATGGATCGCAGGGAGAAATCGAGGTTGAAAATAGGAAGGGATGAAAGCGATATGTTGAATACTTTTTGAATGCAAAGAGTTTCTCAGTAGGAGCTTTAGAATTTCGAATGTTTTTTTTCTTGAGAACGAGTAGCCACTATCGTACTCCTTCATCACCCAACGATTCTGATACTAAACTTGTGATAGGAAGAACGTGTTCTCGATTGCAGACTGATCCGAAACGACCGATCCTGATAAATAGTTTGTTTACAATATTCGACTACCGCTGGTCTTTCTTAATGGGAGTCAATCTTATGCCACTATTTCGAGCAACCAGCTACTGAAAGTTGCTACAATGTATGTTGCACGTGGTTTACAAATATTTATATTATTAGATCTTGCAGAGCTACTAGTCAATCTGCTCCTCGGATCTACTCGATTTTTATTTTTGGGACCACTTAAAGACATTTGTTTATCGAACACCCATCGCCAGCGTTGAAACGCTTTTGTATAGTATACGAGAAAGCTGCCAGCGAATCCGACATAATACCAAGAGTATTTAAAAGATTGAGAAACTCTGTGACACAATGTCTGCAGGTTCGCATTTCAGTGCATTTTTAGCAAACATACAAATCTCTCTAGAATTGCTCGAGGCCAGTTGTTTTGAACGTCTTGTTGGTTAAGTTATCGTTCATCCCTCTGAGATATACACAGCGTATCGTAACATACGGAAGCTAATTCAGCAGTCGATCGATGACTCAAAAACCATAAAAAAGAATTCATATAAACATTTGTCTCATTCTATGTTCTTGAAATATGTGACTTCTATTCATCGAAATTTAAAGTTGTCATACCCTATCGTTAAGATTTACTACGAATGCTCGTTGAATGAGACTAAATTCTGAGAAAATCTCAACTTTCTATGAAATCGATAGAATCCAATCGAGAAGCTCGCTTGCATATGTATTAGTCTCCGTGTGAGTTTCTTAGAAGTGTAAGAAGCTGTTACTTGGTATTTGAATATCACGGCTCGAAAAATGACGCCGTCGTAACCAGAACATTAGTGTCATATACATATATGCGTCACGCGGCACTGAACGTGTTAAACAATTAGCAAAATTATTTCTGCGTGTTTTACGTACATGTAAAAATTCGTAGATGTCGCAGCGCATAATGTTTCTTTCCACGTGTAAGCGCAGTGTATTACATATTCGACCGATCCGGAAACGATATATTAACACCATGTCGACGCGAAACCCTCTGTTTAGTGCGTCCATTTTAAAACAGCATAAATAGCGGAAAATATACTAACGCTTGAATATTTTACATTATATTCCGGACACTTCGAACTGTTTTCTTTTCTATACTTTAATCTTTGTCAATGTTCATGGAAGTTTTCTTATAAAACTGAACTGAAACGAAACACGATTAAGAAACAAAAACCGTATTTATTTAATTTCCAGGGTTAACTGTTTAGTTACGTTTAAAAGTATTTTGGTGACGGATGGGAAACGGCCGAAGCGAAGAAAGAGGCACTTCACGAGAACGATCGGAACGTGCTCCAGTTCTGCGACTAGGGTGCAACGTTTTCACGCTTCCTCGCGAGTTACAAGGATTTTCGTTTCTATGAAACGATTTAGGTGTCCCAATTTTTCAGTGATTTCTATTTGTGCTACTTGAACAAAAACTTTCCGTGCGAAACACTTCCTGCCGATACACTATCTAACCGAAACTGAACACATGTATTAGAAAATAAATTTAGAATGGGTTCGTTAATTATAGACGATACATTCGCGGGTAGTCAAAGGTGCTAGTGTGTCGTGAATATATCACCTGAAAATTTACACAAGTGCAGAATACACGGAGGCCCATGAGCGAAATCACGTAAATTGATCGAAAAGGACATCGGTATCGGCGAAACCACGTGTCAGAGAGCTGTGCGTAGCGATGCACACGTCACACGTACATCAACAGCGTCGCATGTGCTCCCACATGTTCATTCAGGAAACCACGCAGCTCACCACATGTATCAGCGTCTTATGCAGACTCTAGTAGGAAACTTCGTAGCAATCGATGATCGCGTGTCAACATTGCAACGCATTTGCGTACACAACACCATGTGGACATTAAATTTTTTTGATCGGTTCAACGAGGAATTTGCTAACAGAGGAGGATGAGACCTTTCCATCAGCTGTAACAATCACACAACGAGAGTTTTATATGGAGGATGAACAGGCGCTGCATGCTAGAACGTCGGACTTGTTCAAAGTTGAGCTGTTTTAATCTCGACAACTATGAAGTAAATTACCCTGGTTATTCGTTCTGCAGGAGGAGGGCAAAGGAAGAGGTAAAATTCTGCTATCAAAGACAAATATCGTAATTCTCACCTGTTTAAATACGATAATTGTGCACGTAGAACTCTCGGAAAGAAGCCACAATGAGAATTTATTAAGAACAGAAGTCGTAGAAAGGTTCTCGCAGCACATTCAAATAGAAAATGTTACCAACATTGGGGGGTTACTGGAGAGCTTAACCAAGCGCTTTACCAAGTGCCTAACTATTTTCAAATCGTGACATTCCAATTTAAGATTAACGAACTACATACCTGCGATTTGATGTCGACGTTGCGGAGATACGTTATCGAACCGTAGTACAACGCAAATTTCATCAGGGAGAAAAGTAGCTCAGTCGTTGATTATCTTCCCAAGAGTACGTCGTGTTTTTCTTTTAGCATTACCGATGAAAGAGATTCCCGAACGGTTCGAATTACGCGACACAACTGCCTCGTGAATTAATGACGTTAAACTTCCTTCATCTTATCAGTGAGTATTATATGGTGGATAAGCGTACGGTACTATTTCCTTTACCTCGAAAGTTCAATAAAATTTACGATCTTCTTTTGCAATAATTCGTGACTCGAAAGGCTGTAAGCTTGTCCCTTGAGTAATTGCAACCCATTTGAATCGGGTCGATCTTATTTTATTCGAGCAACAAAACAAACAAATTGCATAGTATTTAATCGTGGAAAGTTTTCGGGACGAGAGAAGTAGAGAATGATCGATTCGAGGAACTAAGGAAATGTACGAAGAGACAATCTCGATAAGGTACAAGGGCAGATTATCGGAAACGAACTGAACATAGACGGAAGTCAGGCAAGAAAGTCCAACGAGCCTGCTGTTATTCGCTTTATTTATGTCAGACTTGGAAACAGAACTATGGGAAGGTCAGCCAGGTGAAGTAGTAATTGGGGAAGAGAAGATACGGTTTCTGGCATACATTGATTATTCGATAACTTCGGACAAATTAAATTGTATATTTGTAAGCCTACCTTATTACAATCGGTAGCGAATGTCCAGCTAAAGTTAACACACTGTGGATCGATTAGGATGATGAACTTTCTTCTGCAATCGGTGATCGGCAGATATTGCGGTGTAGTGCACGGCGATTGTGCGATTAAATAGTCTACAATATAGAAACAATCTAAATTAAGTACTCGTCATAGAAAGAAATCGATAACAATACACTGATTGGATATCGACTTATGTTAGATACGAACTAGTAAAGTTCAAGACTTTTATTGTCTAATAGAAAGGTGGGGAATCTTTTGTGATTGGAACGACGCATGTCACTTCTGCTTCTAGAACTATTCGAATATTTTACATCTATTTAAAAACTATTACTCTAATATTATCATTGGTCAACCACCGTTCAAAAATTGCAACTGCAGTTTGCGAATGTCCTGTTGCATCTGTGAAAAAAATTATGGTCGTTGGAAGACGGTTATTATTAAACGATGCATCATTTTCCTTTACCAGTTCTTTCTGTCTTCGCTTGGAAAACAGCTGTAGCACGTCCTACTTCCTAAAATTACTCCGCATACCAATTACTTGCAACTAACATCGGCGAAGACACGTAAGGATGTCGTCGAATATCTCGAGGAGAAAAAACGTAACTGAATCTTTTCAGGAGAAGAACGGAGAAGAACGTTGGCTTCTCTGTGAAATCTCTGTTGCCAATTAAATAGTTAGGCAGTTGGTCGGTAATGCCCCCTTAAGTAAAATAGCGCGACAAAGGTTTAAACGTGCGGCATGAAACTGTTTCGAATTATAACGTACAAATCAAAGATCAAAAGATTAAAATTAAACAGGTTGTATATAATCCAGAAGTGCGTGGGGTCGTTCGAAACTCCAGGAGTCCTTCCAGCTGTGATCAAACGATTCTCGAGTATCGTTCGCAGCTTCAAACGTGATAATACTACGCGCGAACGTCTCGGACACAGCGCTAAATTATGAATCACGAAATTATTGTACTCGTTAACGGAGGGACTTGTGTCAAACTTTACGAGTTCAATTGTCGAGACACGCGTCACCAATTAAAAAGCAATTGCTTGCTTCATTGCTCGCGGCGAATACATTACTGGACAATGAAAGATGTCGCGAGACATCTTCGATTATTTTACCGGATAAAACTGATACGAACTAGACCGTTATCGTTTGAAAGTCATAAGTACTGTTCACCGATTGTCCCGCATCGGTTTTTTCGCTCGTTCGCGGAAAATTTTGTTGTTGTTGTTACGAACGATACGAATCACGTGTCGCGTTACGATCAGATCTGACCTCACTGATTAAACTTATTCACCATCGTAATTAAATATAATTAATTCCCACAATTCAGTGCAACACCATCATGCGAGGAAGTTGTTCTAGGCGATGAATTGTCCGATAGCTAAAATAACATAACCAATGTTTGTCAGACCTTGGTTACAGTTTCAGTTCGAAAAGGAATTTCTTTGATGTCTCGCATCCGTTTATATAAACAATGCGAACGTTAAAACGCGGTTAGAATATCGCTTCTATAGTTTTGGCGCGCAGTCTTCAATATTTTCGGTTCGACTCGGAAGTCCCTGGAGCTTCTGATTCTCACCGAAGAGAACACGTGTTCTCGATAGCGAACCAGGCTAATTTGAAGAGATCAAAAAAGAAATGTCGTAAATAAAATCGAAGCGTTTTCAGTAGAAGCTCTGTACAGTGTCACGGATGATTTCAAGACGCTTGGTAAAGGCTACGGAGGTGAAGGATGGGATCTATTGCGATCAACTTTTTTTAGAAGTCCATGGCCGTGCAACAGGTTGAGCTTTTCAAACGTTTCGATCATCTCCGAAGTACATTATGCAATTGTGTTTTGTAAGAGCCCGTGGTCTTATGATTTTTCCGTGACGTTATGCGCGGAAATAGAGCGAACGAGATTAATTAGCGGTTACTATTTCGGTATAGAAATAAACCATAATTCTCGGATGCAATAAAATCGAATCGAGTACCGTAAGATTACATGAGTAATAGATTAAACAACGGAATCATAAAGCTCCTTTTGGAATTCTATCTCGGATCGAGTCGCGTTTCATCGATTCATCCGAAATGGACGAAGACGTTCGTGACGCGATTCAATCGGGAGTTCATTTCAGGAAATCCTGTGTGTACGATGCGATCGTGTAAATCCGGAACTGCCAAAAATACGCCTGATAAATATCCGAAAAATGCGGAAAGTTGGCTCGAACGGAAACAGGAAAGCGGAAGTTTGATGCGCTGCCAGCCAAATAAAATTACTCGGTAAAGGAACTTGAACGATCCGCGGAGTATTCATTGGAATAACTTTAGTTTAAAATAGCCAATCCATAGAATACTGTTTGTCAACCATCAAATTCGCGGTTGAATCATAACGCCACTTGGGGTTAGCGTGCCAACAATTTCACGCGCTGGCGCCATCGCAATGCCTTTGCCAGAAATTTATTTCTACTGGATGATAGATACTATGAAATATGTAAATTTAATTGGACGTCAGATTCTCCGTTACTTTTTTGGCTAATTGTTTTCGAATTTTTGTAAGGCACACACTTGTAGAGAAAAAATTGAATGGTACGTGCTCCGCGTAAGTAGTAAGACGAGAAAATGTGGAGCCTTCAAAATGCTCAACTAAAATATGCATCGAGTCACTTTGATTAAAGTACACGTGTACATTTTACGGATTGCTTTTATTTCTTTGCATTTTTATTTCGTTGAGTTCTGGTCACGGCACTCGTGGTGGCTCAGCAACTTTTTCACGACACCCTTGGAGGCTCAGCAGTTTTTTTTTACCGTGCCCTTAGGCTAGAATAGATACTTGACAGTTCTATTTCGCAAGTAGCCAAGCCTAGAAAATTTAATACCAGTATCCAGTATTTGGTGAGGAGAAGGAACATTAAGAAAGAGTAAAGAAAAATTATGTTGTTACCTTTCTTCGACGAGCATCTCAGATTGACCGCATTTTTTTTTACGATCTTGCCTTGAGTAGTCATAAAAGAAACGGAAAAAATAATCACGGTTTCGTGGTCTCCGCGATCTTTATTTTTCCGATGCCGCGAAAACGGCCCTATAATGGCGAAATGCCTACGTGGAAAATATAAAAAGAAAGAATAGATCTCCGAAGGAACATTACTCTCTGCCTCGGACAGGTATCGATTCCTTTTTGTTCCTTGGGTTGTCTAAAAGGACCTGCCGATATAATAGTTGCTCGATATTACCAATAAAAGTAGAAAACCGAAACGTTTTAGAGGTAGCACGGTTCAGTTTTAATTCACACAAAAAGGTTACTTTGTTTTCGTTTCGTGGGGTTACAAGGGACCGTTTAGATCGTCCAAAATTTCTGTCAAAGACGTTGCATTTGGCGGATGCGGTCTGCGCGCAATTGCACGGGGGACAGGAAGTGCAGATAAATATTTAAACCTCTTCAGTTTTATGCTCGGTTACGCGCTTAAAGTTTCTACGTACACATGGCCACGCGTTATATGCGTTTTATGCGTTTTCGAGGGGATTCTAAATAAAGCAGCAGGAATTCGTGTATCGGGTTAGCATGTCCCTTCATAAACTACGGACTCTGTACATTTCTCGCGCGTGCACGCCATCACCCGTACAAGAAATTACTTCATCGAGGCGAGGTAAGGTTCATTGCATCGGGGAAAAATCTTACGTGACGTTGGAGAATGGTTCAAGGAAACTGCACGAATGTTGGAACCGCGTTCACGTCGCTCCATGTAAAATGGCATGACCTTTTATTATTCAATCTTTTGCCAATCTAAGAATTTTCCTACTGATGCAGGTCGTGAATTTTTGTCCTAAATTTTAGCTCTCTTGCTCGATGCTTTACTCTTGGGCAAATTGTTTAAACGTCCGATTGGTAACACTCGATAAATTTCAAATTTCTTTCATTGGAGGTTTACTCCAGGATATATAAATATAAATTGTAAATGTGAGTTAGTAGAATAATAGATTATATAAAGTGAACGTGAACGTAAGTTGTGATTGATATGTTTTTAGAAGTTATATTACGCAAGATTACATAATCTTTTGAATGAAATATTCGGAGGGGAAACTGGCTATCGTAATGTTACGCGACGAACATTATCACCCTTTGATTAATCGAAGAATGGCTTTATTTGATAGGACTGTGTTCCATTTTTGTACTCGATGTCTCCCGTCGAAATTAATTTCAAACACGAGTCCGTTTAAAATGTTATATTTGAAAATTTGTACAGCAAAAGGAACACAATTTTAAAAGCTACGTACGAGGGAGAGTTACGGAATACGATATCGCCTAGTTTAAAACCGAGTCTTATTCGAGACAAGTGCTCGTAAACCGGTAACTTAGACGATAAGATGACGAGTGCTGTAATTTAAGAACACAATTACCCCACGGAGTCACTGATCAATCAGTTTAACGAACAGTTGGTTAAACACACGAGATAATGCACGCTTTTCCAGTATTTTAATTCGGATGTGTCGCAAACCCAGCTCGCAACCAGCGCGAACCTATTCAATCTAGAACTGACTCACGTCTCGTCCAGACATTTTACGAAAAAAATTCTGGCCGCCCTGTGGCAGCAGTTTCAAGATAAAGTAAATTCTCGACTTAAATGTTAGATATATTCTGTAGCAAAATATATAAGAAATTATTATTATCTAATATTATATCTAGAGTCAGATTTGAACCAAGACACTTCGGATTGCAAATGAATATTTTACATAAAATATAAATACGAAAAACGCTTAAACAGATATCAAAATGTATGTGACATCTTGATTATTTATACTGTGTTATAAAACGTCTGTGTACTCGAGACTCCACTATCTTCTCCAAGAACAAGCTTCGATTACGATGATCGTCTTCTTTATCTAATATTCACATGCATTAACGAAATATCTTCAAATCTGGAAACCACTCAAAAAAGTAACCATGCTTAATTAGGAACGAGATCCAAAGCGACCGCGTTGAAACTGTATTCGTACGAAAGTGAATGGTGTAAAATCTGAAAACATCGTGGAAATTAAAATTACAAAAATCTGCAACGAAAGGTGGACGAAGAATTCGAAGAAATAATACTCGGACAGCGGGTTCTCCTTAAACAATAATTTCGCGAATATGCGTGTATCAATTTGCAGTATGTTTCCTTCTACGATCGAGTAAACCAACCCAGACATGTCGAGATCCAACAGCCCCAATCCAGTTCGAGCCAGTCCGATCCAGCAAACGATCTTGTAGACCACCTGGGTAAGGCGGCTCAGCCACGGTAAAACTTCGATGAACTCGTCTTTGATGAACACAGGAATACTGACTGAGTATAATAGAGGTACAAAAACGGAGCAACAAACCGAAGGAATGGGGAGAATGTCTGCGGTGCTAGGACGGTAACGAAAAAGGACATCCATCAGGTACCAGGCGAAGGGTCAAAGACATCACGACGGAAATATCGAAAAACACCTGGAACGTAGCTAATTTAGTCTTTCTTCCGATTGTTTAACACGTTGATCGCCATGTCACCCACATATGGGTGACAGTGTTTTTCACCGAAGAACTAAAAAACTTAATTCTGTAAGTCAAGTATCAAAGGAAATGAATTTAAATGAAATTCATGAATTTTTATGAAATTACAGAAATAAATACAACGATAAATTTTTGATTATTCAGTCATTAATAATTTAAATAATATTTCACTTTAGCGGAAACTTTCAAGAATATTTGTCTGGCAGTCGACATGTTAAGGAACTTAACGTCGCAAAGGATTACGAATAAATATCTTTCTGTGCGTTAATTTATCCGAGTACTTTTATTCTACGATAAAACTTGTTTAAATTTTCCCACAAAAGCAAACGTTATCTACTTTTCCGGATAGTGTTGGTATTTAATTCTATGCTCTCGTTACTTTCATGTTATCGTTCGCTTATCTATGATTAATTTTATCTCTAGAAATGTACAAAGGCTACATATCGCTTCTGTTCATATTAAAATTCTGAAATTGATGAACTATAAATCTATTAAAAATTGAAATTCATTTTCCATTACCGTCGATAGTCTCGAGTTAAATGTTATCGAATGTTTCATGGAATGTTCGTATAAAGGTCAAGTGGACGAGTTTAGGAGAATGATTTCAGAGTCGCAGTGCGTCGGTCCTGACTTTCTTCGACGTCCTCGCGTTTTCTCTCTATGCCTAATGCAAGTTACATCAAGTCAACAGTAGAATTTTAGAGAAAACGTTACAATTTCTTTCATTGTTTCGTATAAAGTTGCATAAATTGAAGCTGCGGTAATATCAAGTTGCACTTACTTTGCGCGGCGTGTCTTCTACATAAAATACCCTTGAGTTCGAAGCCTTCGATCGTAACCTGAAAACACATTTTCTGTCTTCTTTAAGAGTTGCATAACTACGGTTCTTGGACAGATTTCACGTGATTACAGCAAAAGTTACTTGCAGATATACAGGGTGTCCCAAAAGTCGGGGAGGAGCCGGAAATGGGGGGTAGCTGAGACGATTCTGAACAACAATTTCCTTTGCGAAAATGTCGGATGGAGCTTCGTTAAGGAGATATTAAGAGAAAACCCCGACCAATCAGAGCGCGCGTAGACCGTTGGAGCGGCCGCGGTAGCGTAGGCTACGCGCTGGTGGCCGCGCTTGCACGCGAACAAGTGACTCGACGTGCATCGAAGGACATTGACGCTGCCGCCTAGCGCGTAGCCTTCGCTACCGCGGCCGCTCCAACGGTCTACGCGCGCTCTGATTGGTCGGGGTTTTCGCTTAATATCTCCTTAACGAAGCCCCATCCGACATTTTTGCAAAGGAAATTGTTGTTCAGAATCGTCTCAGCTACCCCCCATTTCCGGCTCCTCCCCGAGTTTTGGGACACCCTGTATATTCATGTTGTAACAGTAATGGAGAAAAATGAATTGTGCACAATTCAGTAATGTAACATAAAACATAAACTATTGTGCATGTATTACTTATTAATAAAGCGAAAGAAACTTTTGGGACAACCTAATATATTTGTCTACGAATTTTATTATAAATCTTGGAATGCAAGATCATCCTATGCATTGGAATTGTCTGATATGAGACAGACTGTTGCGGTTAAAAGCTATAGGACGTTAAAAAGCAAAACCTTTTAACGTTGTGTAAACAATAAACTGGTTTCTGCGACTGGACAATTACTCATTCGAACATCGATTCGTTTGAAACAGATTCCTCCATCCTCCAACTCTACCAATAGCAGATCCAATCAATTTTGAGTTTGTCGATCGAGCTGACGTCAAATGCAGGAATAATATTACTAAGAAACGTTGACAGAGAAGGAACAAAAGGTTTTAGGTAGCAACGATTTTGCACGTATCGAACAATTACATTTATTTTCTTGGTCCAACTATGTTAGGCGCAACCGACATAGTTGCCTCGTTAACTATGCGACCGCACATTGTGGCATTCTTTTTTTCAGATTTCAATCTTAATAATACAATTATACGTTTTTTCTAGCATGTACATTAATGAGCATACACATTAACACATACACATCCGTCTGGTCTTGGCTTTCCGACATAGTTGCATGTTCGTTCGTCATTCTCATTCTTCGTTACGCAAAGACATCGTTTTCTAACTTTCTCTAAACGTACACATTTCACTTATAATAACGATATCGAACATTTATAGAATGAAACATTTATTTCCCCTTTTTGGTTTTTCGCGTCAGGCTGTTAGCAATTATAACGTTAATTAAGACAAAGACACCGATATACATATATGTATATATACTGCTACATGATATTTAGTAAAAAAATGTTTCGCTACTAGACAGGATTAACACTCGATACACCGTTTTATTTATACCAGTGGTACAAATGTCACTTATCGGATACAGTACCGACGAGGCTTTTGTTTATAATTAAAAGCAAGTTATTTTCTTAATTATCAATGGCGTGGCAAAGAACTTTTACTTTATCTTAATTTCAAGTTTTAGCAAATGAGATCATAGTGCTTACATTAACATTTCTTCATTGTTAGTAGTTAAATTTTATCTTATAGATTCTAGATCGTTAAGATGTTGTATGTTTTAACTCGTGACAATATTCATGCTAACATATGGAATACTATATTTTCCCTTGCTTGCACGTATAAATTATCATTGTTGTTTAATCTTGTAATAAAAATTTCATAGAAGACATTTCGGTGACGTATTATATTATCCCATAGATTTTGTCGATTACTTTTCCTATGTTTTACGATTACGAAATTGTATTCGCTAATTTAAACTCTCTATTTTATTAGTTAGAGTCTCATGGACGAGTCTCAATGTTTACGTGATTTGGTTTGGCAAGTTCAGCTTGGCTACTACTTCTGTGTTCTAACTATTTTACAGGCGTAAATATAAGACAAGTTCATGGTCTTAGTATTACCACCTAACGAATATCATGACAAATGTTTACGCACTTAATATTACCCTAATCTTGTTCAATAGTTAAATCTAAATTTTGAATCATTAAATGTCCTAAAAAGTAAAAATACGAAACAGGATAAAAAGGTACGCGATTAACATAGCGATGAATTAAAATTATATTTCAATTCTTTACAAATAACCATGTGAAATTATTTAAGAGATAAATGCAGAAACGAAGGACAAGACTGTTGAATGCATACAAGTTGAATACTTTACAGGTTTCATAGCGACAAATTACAAAAATTCACGAGGACTAAGAATAACCATGAAAATGAATCATCGGAAGAAGCACGTTTATGTTCATCCTGTAATTGTTTTCAAGCGTCAAAACAATCCTCGAATTCCATAAAAGTTAACGAATCGTCAAAGTCGACAAAATTTACGGTATAATTCATCTTATTTTTCAAACGTGGTCGAAGTCCTAAGAAAGTGGCGAGTGACGATCAGCGCGTCTACCATTAAAAAATGGCGACGCTGGTCGAGGAACGAAGATTTGCAAAACAAAGAATACAATTTTAACGAAATCTCTTATTTCTTGGCTGGTTTGCTATGTACAATTATAGAGAGCGACGTGCTACGAATCAAAGTATCTGTACAATTATAACAACAACAATAACAATAACAACAATAATACGATAATACCTAGGTAGCTCGAAGAAGAAAAGAACAAAACGATTTTGCGATTTAAGAATAATTAACATGCACGCGTGTGTTTTCGTTACACACGCAAATGATCTCGAAGAAAGACGTTTCGTTTTCTTCGAGCCATTTTCTTTCGTCGTACAATTCGCTTTGCATAATATGTATAAAAAGAAATCGTTTTTCACGTATGATATCAACGTTAAATATTTAGCTACACTTAATTACTTTTATTTAGAAGTATATATAATTCATAATACATGAATATTAAAGTATTGACCAAGGAGACGAAATCTACGATAAAAAGAGTTTTATGAAATTGAACAGGCTTAAGAAATACGAAGCTGAATATCATCAATATATAGTTCGGTTATCACAAATTAATTTCTGCCTCTCGGTCCCTTGGTTTGACTCGAATATTGCCTGCTTCGTCTTCTCTCGATTCTCGATGTTTTACTTTAAAAACAGGAACACGCTTCTCTATGTATTTTAATTTGGCGAATATAGAAATCACTACATCTGAAAATATCACATATTTGGGATCCGTTTATCCCAGTGATCAGTCGATGCTTCAGCTGCGCAGGCTGAATCTAAAAATCTAAGTTTCAAGTAAACGCCTAGCAAAAGCTATATAACACAAAGATTAGCAAAAGTATATTCAAATAACGGACGATGTATTCGTAACTCGATACAATTGAAAAATCGTACATCTGTAAACTATTTCTTTTTATAATCTATAATATTTTGCTTATCTTTGTTCAAAAGTAATTCGAATACGGTCCTAAAGAAGCAGACAAGTAAACAAAAGTATGCGTATTGAATTTTCTCCTCTTTGTTTTTTAATCGTCGGGCTCCGAGAGGATCAAGGAAAAATCTAAAACGAAATACGATCGTCAGAGTGGTCCACGTATCACAAGTCACCTTTTTTCATTCGTCGATTAGCATCTTCCTATTCGGTTGATAGCATCACGGGTGTCATAATCTCGCGCTTTCTATCGCCTTCGGTGATGTTTCGTTATCGATTATCGATACTGCAGTTCTCTGCTCCGACTCGGATATACTTCTCAACCGATAACAATCTAGTTTATTTTCGGTGATTCACGCCGAGTCCAATACACCGCCGGCAAGTTTGGTCGCGTACAAATTTAACGCCTGCAAAGTAAACAAGAGTGCCCGTTTAACATTTAAAAGTGAATAAACACTTTAAAGGTGATGCCATAAAAGTAACCCATATGTCGATTATATCACGTTGAAAAAAAGAGAAAGGACAAACTGAAATCGAGAAGCAGGAAACGAAACATTGCAAGTAACCTTGTAAATGAAGGCATATTGTTCTTTAGTTTGTACAGCCCCAGCACGATCCCGTCTGATAGTGTAAACGACCCTTGGCACGTCCACAGTCCTCGTAATCTCATATTGTCTAATCCCTAAGTCAAGAGCTATTAGCGTTCCCGTGCGTCCAGTGCCGGGACTACAGTGGACCACTATAGGTCCAGGACCACCTCTTTGGAGGGCCCTTGCCTCGAGAAGCACGGCTATCAAGCCTGCTCCATCCGATTGTATCCCGTTAACAGGCCAAAGGTACCAAATATGGTACACTTCTCGGAACGTGTTGTTCTCCAAATTCTGGAACAGAAAAATTCACGTGTCAATCGAATCTTTAACGCTAGAACCGCCGAGAGAATAATGCGTTTTTTTTTGTTTTTATTTTTTTTTTAAGTGTTGTGGAGTCTGTCGCTAAAAATAAAGCTTTCATCTGCCATGGGCGTAAACGAATTATCGTATCAGTCATTTGCGAGATACATCAGACCTGTCGAAAAGGCTAATACGACGAACATATTTGGCTCTGACGTATGAATAAAATAAATATTACGTGTCGCGATTATCACACAACACCCAAGGTCGAAACGTTTCGATAGAATGCTCGTAATGACGCTATCGACTAATTGTTACAGATAAGTCCCTTACTTTTAAATGAAGCATTGAAATGGCATATTTCTCTTTGGTTTCTCTCTTCTTCAGAGTAACTTGGAAGTCACCGTACAACCGGTGGCAATCGGATATTTCCGACGGTGGAATATACTCGGTGCACTTTTCCACCCCGTTTTCAACGAGATCGGTTAACATGATGATCACTTTGCACTGTTGTTCCCAGATCATCCTCCAGAAGTCGGTGATGGTCGACTCCATTGGCGCTTGGCAAGCGATATAGTACCTCGTCGCGTTCTTCGGTCCCTGAAAAGCAACGACACTGTGAAATTTGAAGAAAACCATAACTTTCGTACCGATAAACAATCCCCGTTCAATTTTAACTGCAAGTTGCAACCTCTAAAAATCATGCAAACGAATTGTTTGAAGATTAATTAGCGAAACATAATTGTACGGGCAATTTTAAGGGAAATCAGTTTCGCTTCGAATCAATTAATTGCGCATAATAAGTGGCTCGTGCCTGTACCAGGATATCAATGATGCTATCGATTAGCGAGACGCTGTTAATTGCAATTCGATGGTCAATGCACTCGGTGCACTCGGTGTGCGCTAACACTCGAATATTGGGTAATTGAAGCACGCCTGGGGTTGAAACATTAGCAATAATGGACCATTTGTACGTGATTGGTTTAAATCTCTTTAAATATTAACATTCCGAACAAGATACACATTTAAATTTCCTCGAATTATATAAAATGGAACGTTTGATGATACTCTAGGCCCTGTAGTCAAAAAATCAGAATAACAGATGCGTCGTTATTCCGACTTACACAGTCACGAGCAGTGTGTATCGTTTCACGAGAATAATAGCGGGATAATTAATAGAGTTAAGAATGATCAATTATCGTTTCTACGATTATGAGGCATAAATTGAAGTTCGTAATCGTTCAATGGAAACAAGTGTTAACGTTCGTCCCGCTTCCGTATATTGCCGTGCTTGGAACTTATGCAATAAGCATTCGTATTCTTCGTAATGCATTATGCAACATCCTTTTCTCATGTAGACAAAACGCTGTGTTGATTCTTACCTGTGCTCGGATCGCTATCGATACGTTTGAGCGCTAAGTTAACAACTCGTTTCGATATATAAAAAAAAAAAAGAGGGGAGGCAATTCATATCAGCGTTTTTCAAAGCGGAAAAGTGCTAATCTCTCGGTAAGAAGAAAGTTGTACGTACCCTAACGTAGCTGGCGTTGATGTACTCCGTAAGGGGGTTGTTGTTCATTTTTTGGAGGGGTACCCTCGTCTCCGGAAGCGGTATCACGTTCGCGTATCTGTTCTTCACTTCCGCCCCGGGTGGCAGCTCGTCTATCTTCGCCGAAACTTGCGGAATACCAGAGAATTCCTCGTTGATTGCGTTAGTGTCGTTACAGAAAGATGAAAGCCCGGCAAAATTCAAGGGGTGGGACGGTATGGCGCTCTGCAACCAGGACACACCGTTCGTAGAAACATGCTTTCCGAGGCTTTTATCGCAACGTTAACAGAGTTAAGCCTCCACTTTCTCGCTTCGGCGACTATTCAACCGTCGTGCTCGCTCTCAACTCGATTCCCGTGATTGGTTTTAAAGTTGTTACTACGGTTTGGCGGATGCAAAAACGATGCCTGGTTCGATGCACTTGCACCGGTGATTCGGAATTTTATCGAGTGAACCCTCTGCCAAAGTAATTCAACTATCCTCGTTCAGTCCAAAATTAGATCGCGTGATACTAATCGGTTTTCTACCGCTTTCTTTGCGTTATATTAATGTTCAAGTGAAATAACAAATGAAATTTCGTTCGTTCAACTTGGCTTACGAAACTCTGAACGTCTTGATCTCCCCGAATAATCAAAGAGCGGGCTAGCCAGCTAGAAATTATAATTGAAGTTAGGCCAAGGATTTTTAATAAAAATAAAATATTCCTGCGGCGCTACTTTTATACCTTTGTACGTTTCAATGGGTTGCTTTTTTAAATAAACAAATCTTACTGCTTTACAGAAGCGAAGAGCTTTTATAACAGCTAAAATTTAATAAAACGATACGGGACACATACTACGGGGATACAATTCTGTATAATTTACCTGCACGATCAACTTATATTTACAAGAATGTATTAAATGCATGCTATAAACAGAAGAAACATTGAAAAGCAAAATGTTACTCGCGAAATAGTATACATACATGAATAGAAATAGATCTACGGTAGAAATAAACCTTATCGTTTGAAATAATTTGTAGTTATTTGTAAGTTTTTATCGTAAATCATTAATTTGAAGATAAATGAACTGAACTAATCGTAAGATGTGATTTATTTAAGTAATTCAAGTTTATATACATGTGATTGCACTTTAGAAATGAAAAGACTTTATCAGTTCGTTCGATTGGACGTACGCTTAGTATCTATCAGAGCCAGTGATTAAGAGAGACCATTGGAACTTACCGAATCCTCGAAGGTTGGATTCCCATAGCTTCTTTTCGAAGATCTGACCGCACCTTTACGTCTCACGCTGTTGTACGCCGAAACGCTGTCGACGCTGTAGGCATCCAAGGATACCGGTCGACATCGTTCGCCATAGTTGAATCTCGTCTGCCTCTTCCTCATTATAAACTGCAAATAGTTTCATCGATAACTCGTAAACATCCGCTTCGGAATAATTTCAAGCGGAAATAATTTCAATCTCCATTATTAATTGTTTCAGAGGCACACGGAGGAAGATTTCATCGCCAGTGTATCCCGTTCAAATATTAACATACGTGTAACTAAATTCAAGGTGATCGTTGATCGATACATAGGATTCGTTTGATAATGCGAATGACGAAGCTTCAAGCACCAGAGAACAAAGAAATGCAACAAAATTTAGCAACGTTAGACGAAAGTGCTCAAGCGATGGTTGGGCTCTGAATGTAGGACGAAGAGAAATCTGAAATTATTCGACAAACACGAGCTAATCAGAGGGGTCACCCGAGTGCAAAGAGTTAAAGTAGCGATTCGCGGATCTCGCCAGAGGCCATCTTCTTGCAGAAGGACAGTCACCGTGCGATACCTCGCGCCATGCAACGTCATCGAAATGAATAACGACACCGAATCCCGTTATTTCACGCTGGTTGTGCCTGCATCGAAGACGAACAATACCTGAACCACCGAGGATCGTATAACGAGCCGTGTTTCTCTCGTCGAGACACGTTTCGAGGAGCGATTTCAACACCGAGAGTCGCGCCATGTTCACGGAGTACGCAAGGCAAAAACCAATGAAGCAGGTGATCGTCGCACGATCTAATCGCCGATTCAAGGACGAACGATATGCCATTTATTCGCCACATGCATCCAAGTGCATCGCGTTTCTTCCCCTCCCCGCCGCGAACGATTGGAATTTTCTGAAGGATTTCACGCTCGAAGAGAGATAAGTTTTCTCATCCACCCGATCGCACAGATACGCATATATGTTCGCGTTTTCCTTTCTCCTTGCAACGGACGAGGACACGACGGAACGTTTAATAATAACGATGATGATAACGCGGGTCTGTCCGCAGTTTAGAGATTTTTCACTGTTCGATAAACGGTGTGCAATTAATTTGAATTCTATTAAGATGGTTCGTGCTTTTCGAGCGTTTATTCGTTACTGAAACGATTTTCACCTTCTTCTGGTAATTCTACAAATTAACGAACATAAAAGTATCGGATAAAGATAACGTGTTGGAGCGATGCTAAAACGTTACCAAAATATTATTCGCGACGAGCGAACAGACTGAGAGAAGTAAAGAACGCGCGAGGATATTTTATTTTGGGAATATTTTAGCATTTCTTCCGTCCGACAAAAGCAAGACAACACCAGACGCACACACAATTATTTATCGTTCGTTGTTACGTACACTGGAATGTAAATCGCAAGTGTGGGCGGATGAATACGTAACACCATGCGAAATGAGCTTAATGCAAGTACGGCGAGACCTTTCAGACAACATAGATTTTTGCGGACCTGCGCATCTAAATTTTCGTTCATTAGTTCCTTCCTTGAACAATTCTGTTTCGTGAGAGGGGTGCGAACCCGGAAGCGTGCGATCAACGTCGAGTATTCGCGGTACTCGACTCTAAAGTTTCGCGAAAGTAACACTTTAAAAAAGAATAACACGCGAGTGACATTAATTGTTTGTCGAGAATTAAAATAAGAGTGTAACAAAGTGTCCTATCTTAATGTCGCGCAGCGTATCGATTCCGACTTGAACGCTAAGCTACGAGACCATATTTTTCCTTCGATTTTGCGAGCGTTTTCAATTCAAACTTTTAATGAACGCGATATGCAAGTTGAATTAAAGTTTGCAAAATATTGCTACGGCTAGGATAGAACGGAATTTTCGAGTCGCAATAATAATTTTCAATTAACGGAGTATCGATTACGCTAAATGTTCGAGGAAAGAAGCGAAAACTAAGTACGTTTCGTCGGTTTTTCATGGATCGAAAACTGAGATTAAAGAAAAGTCCTCTTACCAGCAGTCCAGCCAGAAGAACCAGACAAATGAAAGCAACCGAGGAGACCACGATGACTGCTATCGCGTTTCCGGAATCCGGAATAGTTTCCTGTACCAGAAGAAAGCTGTGTATCTGAAAAGAGTGGGTCAAGCGGGCGGAATATGTTAGCTGTATTATACGAATCGATCACGTCTCTAAAATTCGACATCTAACGACAAACGAAATTTATCAAAGCAAAACGGTAACAGCGTTATTTAGAATTCCTCATTTAACATTTTTCCACCCACGCAACCAAGGTTGTGGGACCGAGTCTCGAGACCTCGGCAACTGTCATTGAAACCGATTAAACAGTTTCCGAGATAACGAGTCGCAAAGAATTACGTACGTCGCTCTGTATAAAGAGCCAATATCAAATGAAAACGTAATTAAATAGTAACAACACGAGAAACAAGGATATCGTAGTTGACAGGCGTAACGACTTACTGTAGCTGGGAATTTTACACGACCCTGAAACTCCTTGTACAAACCAGGTAAGCTGTTCGTCATGCCGCTGTCAAATTTCCCGTTCTCGTCGACAACGTAAACTAATATCGGTGTTAACGGCATTTCCTCTGGCGCTGGCGTTGAGCTCGGCGGTTCCCTGCACGGATCTTGGTGAAATATAATTTGCTTATCGGAAACAGACCTGTAATGCGAGACACGACCACATTTCACCGTCTGTCGAGTATCATCCCGCAATGTCGAACAGAAATTATGCGTTCTGTGTGCGTCGAAAAAAAGTCGGTCGAAACTATTTAGTCACTTTAGTTTACAAAAATGAATAAACAAATCGCATTGAAGCTATCGAATCTCACCCGTTGATTCCCGTTGCCAGAAGTTCGGCGAGAGTCATCCTCATCTTATCCATTTTCGGGCACACGTCGTCCCAGCTGCCCTCCACGACGATACGCACCAGGGAAGTGATCTCCTCCGGGGATGGCGACGTCTTCGTGTCAGCTGTCGTCTCCAACGATGTGTCGCGAACAGTTGGAGTGCTCGTGATAACCGGTTCTAGAATCCTCGGTCCCAGACTGCTCGACGCAACGGGGATGGATGTAGTCGCTCGAGTGGCATCTGTCGCGTTAACGTCCGGCATTACCGTTGACTTCACAGAAGCTTCCGTGACGTTCGGTACGAAATGAGAGTCCTTGGAATTCGACGACGAAAACTGCTCCGTCCTCACCGTGGCAACGTCGTCGTCGGTCGTAGTCGTCCAAGATTCTGTGACGCTGCCCGTCTTCCGATCGTCTTCCCTGGTAGAATCCACGTCGGTCTCTGCTTCGATGGCACTCGAGAGGGTGGTAAAATCATCCCTGAACTGCGTCGTGGGACTTGACATGGACGTAGGGACGATCGTCTGATCGACCACCGTGGTACTCGAAAGCCTGTCATCATCGACTCCAGGCACCTCCGTCTCACCGCTTACCAAAGAATGATCTGCAAAGGTCACAGGATTCATCGTAGAAGCTTCTTGCGAGGAGTTTTTCCCGAATCCGTCCTGGACAGTTGGTGCAATCATCGAGGTAGCGTTTACTAACGGCAATCCCGTTGGAATCTCCTCGGTAACGTTCTGAGCGAGGAAAGTGGTCGTTTCGGATAGACCAACGAATTCATACTCGACGCCGGTCGTGGTCGACACGTCGCCTCTGTCCAGACCCGAAGGAATCTCGTTCGTTCCATTGGTGTCGAGGGTTACGCTGGATTTGCCGACTTTGTCCTCCGGTACGTCGACGGTGGTAGGCGACTCGGTGCTCTCCGGTGTTCTTGTCGTTGTGTTATCTACAGGAGAGGTTATCGGGACCGTCAACTTGTTGTCCGTCTCGGAAAAATTGCCTTTAAGCAACGGGTGGTACTCGGTGGAAACCTCCGTGGCGTCGAGAGTCGAACGAAACAGCAGCGAACTCTCGACGTTGGTTTGAACCGCGTCTACATCGGAAAGAGTTCCCACTTCCGTCTGCGGTTTCAACGTGGAGCTGGCGGTCATAGAGGTGGCCTGGTCGATGGTTTCTTGCGGAGAGGGCCCGTAAGTTCGTTTATTGGCACTCTCCGGTTTCGAGCTGACTTCCGTTATCCCATTCCCAGTCACGTCGAAGTTCCCCTTCCCCGTGATCGTCTCGCGGCCTTCGTTCCACCGTGGAACATCATTTCCCGTGTTCGTCGATTTTTCTTGGAACTCGGGGACCGTCTTCGCACCATTGGCGACATCGACGACCGATTGATTCGTTGGATCGGCTTCCTGTAGCGTCACCAGCGGTACGGTCGTCATTGGTAGCGACGAACGAGGGGACAAAGTCGAAGCAGTGGACGATTCGTTGGCCGGTTTCTCGTGGTACGCTGGTTTGAACTGCTGGATGCTATTCTCCAAGACGTCAGACGCTTCCGTGACGATGAACTTCTCCTCGGACTGTTCCCTGCCTATCGTGTTCTCTAACGCTGAAGATTCCTCCGTGGTGGCTCGGATGGAATCGTCAGCCTCGCGGCTGAAATTCTGGACGTTGTCTTTGACCGTGGATTTCGAGTATGGATAGGGCTTCTGCTCGGTGGTTTTGTCCATGCTGATGTTCTTCTTCGAAAACGAAGGGTCAACCTTCGAGGCTGCCGTGGGTTTCGGTTCATGGCCAGGGAACTCGTTTACCCCTGAGAAGGCGATGGTTCTGCCTCTGGGGACTGGGCTGGAGATAGCTGCCAGGGTCGACCCTTCGTGGTTAGCTCTCTCGGTCGTAAGCTCGACCAATTTTTGCTGGCTGTCCTTGTCGATCAACTCTATCGGTTCGGTCTTCCGTGTGGAATTATCGGACTTCTCGTTCTGGCTCGAGCCTTGGCCTGATTCCTGAAGGACTTCCTTCTTCGTTAGACTTTCAGGCTGCTCCACGACTCTCTGAGTCGCGGAATCTGTCAGATTTCCGACGACCTCCACCTCCCCCTTGGGGCCTCCGGATCTGTGATTCGTGTCGACGTCTTTGGAAATGAAGTTCGTGGCGTTCTCGGAGGCCGTCGACTGGTTCTCGCCTGATTCGAGGCCCTTTTCCGTCGAGGTTTTGCGTCTGTGGCTGTAGTTGACGTTCGTGTCGTTGATTAACGAGCCAGGCCCGTCGTTCTCGTCCGTCTTTTCCAAGTCCGCCACTTCCGAGTTCTTCATCGGTCTCGAATCCTCCGCCTTCTTGGTCCTCACTTGAAACTCCTCCGGCAAAATAGCCCCCTGCGTTGTTAGTTCGTTATCGAAGTTGCCCTTTTCCAGCTTCAGGGCAGAGCTCTTCCCCTCTTTCGACGAACTTTCAAGATCCGCTTTCGTATTTGCAGTTTCCGCCGCGAGTTCTTCTTTGGAGCTGGCTCCATCCTCGAGCGTCTTCGCGGTTTTATTCGTTTCGCGGGCAACTTCTACTTCCGACTGCCGGGCAGAGATCGTTTCGTTGACCTTTTCGTCGAGCCGGGACTCATCCGACGCGGGTTTCGCGGTGGCAGCGGTCAAATCGTTCGTTCTGGACAGCCTGTGAATATCCTCGCCGGCCGTCTTCGTGCTGGAACTCTTTCCCGAAGGTCCGTAGAGGATCTCCTCGAACCTCGAACCCCCGTTAGTCGAATCCAAGGTCGATAACCTGTCGACTTCGTTGCGCGACCTTATTCCTTCCACTTCGGATTCTTCGCCGATCGGCGCTGCCACTTTCTCTTCGCCCTCCGCTTTGGCGTCTTTGATAAGCTCGTGTGCCGTGTCGGGATCTCTCTTAGTCGCATTGTAGGAATCGATGGTTCCCTTGTTGTCCTCCGTCGAAGCGAATTCCGTCTTGTCCCTCGACGGTATTTTGTTCGGAATCGGTTTGCCCCTCTCCGCTGACGACGTCTCGGTCGCGTTGGACGCGAGCACTTTGTCTGCGATCAAGGGTGGACCTTTTATCGTGTCAGCGGCCACGGTGCTGAAGAGTAGCAGGAATATACCTGGAACAGAATTAACATTGCGTCGTGATCGTGAAATTGATCGTTTAACCTTGCATTCATAATCGAGTGGGAGAATAAAGGAACTTTTTGGAAAGATGGACCTGGAGTTTCCTTTTATTAGCTAGTCGTGACAGACTGAAACGGATTCGGGGTAAGGATATCGGTTGAGTCGTAAAAACTGATGCAACGCGATGAAACTCTATCCTATAAAAGCCACCTACCAGACGACAAGAGGATTATGTATTCAGAGCTCGTGCGAGGAACATGGCGATCATTCTTATATCGTAATTACATTTGGAAATACACTTGGGAATATCAAACCTACCGTTTAATTTAAACAAATTTCTTCGATAGACAGAGGGTACGAATATTTACGAACGTACTGACTGTAAATCAGACTATTTGCATTTTTATACAGTCGAATAGAGTCGGACTTCGTTTACTTTTTCACAGTGCTAGCTTCTTTCGTTGGCTCGCAAGAACGAAGTACATTCCAATGCGCAGCAAGTCAGGCGAAGTTAAGTTAGCGGCAAACCGCCGCGAATTGCTAAACCGTTTTATTTCCTGGTAAAAAACGAAGAGAAGAAAATGATTTCTAAATCAGCGAACTATCGCAGGTTGTTCTCGTCATCGTTGCGTCGCCAGAAAACGTTCACGAACGAGCGATGGGAACCGGATATCGACAGCAACGACTTTCACGGCAAGATGCGATCAAAATGGACGGGAGCCTAGATGAAGCTTTTAATGGATCTAAAAACCGGTTGGTCGAGAATTACTCGGCCAGCTTCGCAGCAATTCACGAGACTATGATACAGTTCGCCTCGCGTTCTACGCTGCAGCGAATGAAAAAATGCACAAGCGACAATGTGTGTACGCTCGCGTGCCACTGAATGTTAAGCAGACCTCGGGATTATGTGGAAGATTTAAGTATGCGCACCTGATCTCCGTCTATGTGGTCGGGTTACGTGAAAACGCACGTGTGATCGTGCGTTGCCTTCCGTCTCGAGTGGTCCGGTCATTCTAGACCTGGGTTTATCAAACACTTTTTTGGTCGAGGAACATTTTTCAATTTACGATGTATTTATGGAACGCTTACATTCTTTTAGGGCTATTTTTCAAGACTTTTAATGCGACACGATTCAATGACATGTAATTTCATTCTATTATTAAGAGGTTTTTGCTTTAAAAACAACGACGTTTGAAGAATTTGAAAGCGATCCGATTTGAAAAGAAGCTCATGCTTGAATTTCCTTGGAAAACACTGTTCCAACCTTTTGCTTTTTATGTTTATAATTATTCGTGTAAACCAGGAACAAAGGTACGGGGAATTGAGAAGAACGCTGGCTTGTTTTCGTTCGAGCCTCGACAAATTCGAAAAGGCTCGCATTCCTTCTTGCTTACGTCTGAATCCGAATGCCATAATCAACGTTAACTACAGAATAAAACGGACGAGTTGAAATAAACTTCAGAAAGTATTACGTCGTTAAGTTTGTTTGAAATATTCTGCAAAAAAAATTTAACGAGCACGTAAATTCTATTATCAGTTACAATTATTCACGTTTAAGTGCACCGCGTAACAACGCACTAAAACAGCTCGATATGAGATAATTTACAAACACTTAACGGTTACTTTTTTGCTAATTTAATAGTCGAATACATTTGATACGACGTTCTTAAATAATGCGCGATATGCAAATTCGGTATACAGTTGCGCGCAAAGTTTGGAACGGTTTAACAACCGTGTTAACGCGAGCATTGAACCAAATACACCGTATCCAGGAAAGAATTCCGCTTTCTAATTCTTTAATCGATTCGATTCTGTTTTTAAGTTCCTCGCGAACTCGTCGGTTCGAAACGAATCGTCCGTTAATAATACGGATTCGATTGGAAATACGGCTTCCGATTTCGATTTCGAACCTTGATCTACGAATTGATTTATTAATTAATTCTGTTGCATAACGTTGATGGCATCGGCCGCCATACCACTCGGTGGTCGGAACTTTGAATTCATATTGTCTGGACAAGTGTTACAGTTAAATTCCAGTCGGACACGGTGCAGCAATCCTAACAGTACTTCGTGCCTGCACAGTTCGTGCAGTCGTCTCGATTGGCAACCTTTTGCATCATGGTTTCGCGAAGCAACAGGATGCGCCTACCAGGCTCTAATGCTCGCTTCGGTGGAAACGTGCATCGTGCACGTTACGTGCACGCGAAAGTTATGACGAAATTCTAGCTACGACTAATTTACTTTTCATCGTGACAGATACGCTCGTCGCGAGCCGCCATCGAAATGACACGTAGAAAGCGCAAAATTAGAAAAATTCGTGCGACCACAGACATCATCTACCAGAGATTGCTTTCTGCTTTGCACAGATATCGAAAATCGTCCGTCACACGCGTTGGCCTACACGATGCTTATTATACGACTGATATACAATTATTTGTGTTTACTGAATATTTTTTACTGCATATTTCAGGGTTGTTCAGAAACGGTCAACACGCGCCGCTTAAAACTCGCAGTAACCGGTAACCTCAACCTTCAAGCTGTACCGCGGATGTGCATTATGTATTTGCGACTCAATGGATTATGCAAATCGATCGATAAATACTGGTTTATAATGTATTCTTACCTATGCATGCTCTTAACACGGGAGGAGCTCTTCTTCTTCGAATCATCTCGCCGTTCGTTAGATCTCCTCGTGGAATCTGCAACGAATATCACATTGTCATTTACACTTCCTTGCAAAAACCCTCGCGTCGTTTTAATAAATAATCGCGCGTCTCTCTCGATAACAACTCAACTAAACGCTGCAGAGACGGACTAAACATTGGCAGTTAGCTCTTACGCTCGCTCCACAGTTTTTATCGAATAAAAATGGAAGCAACAATTCTTTTTGCTGTATTTTTCGTTGATATTTTTGATGCTATTTGAAATTCGAATTTGCATGTACCCGCGCGTACAATGACGATCTCGGAAATCTTTGAGATACGCGATTTCATTCTGGTTCACCGCGATCCACGACTCGGCAATAATAATTCTCTCGGAACGTGTACCATAAATATTAAGAACCCGAGAAAAGGAAAAGGAATCGCGATATCGCTTTCAGGATTCCAGACCGGAATCCTCGATCACGAATGTGTGCGGAATATTCGTACGATTCGCGGCACTTTTGGACAAATTCAGCAAACCTAACGAAAGAAAACATGCTCGAATAAATGGCATTTCGGGTAAGAAGTACAAATATTCGCGCGAGCTATTTAGCCGACCGGGTTAAAAGATAAATACGTGTAACGGAAAATGTAAGGGAAAACGAAATTCTAGGTTCCGCTGAAAAGTTTAAATTATTTAAGATTTTGATGAAAATATAAACGATGAAAAATTTACCGCAATCAACTCGTGAGTTCTGCTCAACGAAATTATACGAGACGGAGGAAATAATTGAGGTAATGTGGTTCATCCTGTGTATTACAGTATTTAGTGGAGAGAGAGGAAGACCGTGAACCTCGGTTACCGAATGAGGAAACAGACTTCGAGATGGACGGAATAAACGGTAATTGCTCATTAAAATTGAAAGTATTAACTTTGTTACGCGTTAAATGTTTTACACGTTACGTTTCTGCGTCGCTCGAGTAAAGTGTAAAACTGATCATTCGACGCACTCGTTCCAAAAACAAAAAGAACTTCAATCTTAATCTACTTCAGATTCTCTTTTAAGAGAAGCAGCAATATGTCCCCGTCGTTCAGGTGGTTCTTTCTCTTCACATTGTTCTAAAGCGTACCATTATATCGCGCGAGGTAAATCATCAAAAGGATTTAAACACAAGGCGAAACTTACGGCAAAACGAGCTTTACTTGACATCATTTTCTGAGTTAACAGGGCATGCAATCAAAGAACATGTTGATCGTTCCACATTGAGCACAATGAACTTTTACGTAGATTAATTGCCTCATCTATATTCAAGGTGAGACAATATGTCAGAGTGCAAGGTTTGAGGTGATTCACCAGCATCCAGTTCATTCGTGTTAACATCTCACGCTGCACGTATTCGCGTTTACATTCGCTATATATGTTGAAAAGAATGTGAGTGAACTTTAATAAAATGGAAGCTTCTTCAGCCCGTCTGCGAGTATCGCAAATTTAATAAAAGTGAAAATACTCGAAGTTGTATGTTCTTGTATTTGACGAATGATTCATGTGTATGCGACTACACATAACAAACGACAGTCTCGGTATACGTCGCAGAGATCGTTTAGATAGCAGCTCAAAGGAGGTCGACTCCAAGGCTTGTCAATTAAATTAATACAAGTTAGACCGCCGCGAGAACGAACTCCCGTTCTGCCGATGGTTTTCTCGTGCCTCGTGCGTAGCATTCGAAAACAAAGTCCCCTTTAATATGCATAGACTTATTTGTATAATACCCTTAACTTTTAATACAACATTTTTCATCGACGTTTAAAATGTCAGGAATACCGTGTTTGCCTCCATTTTTCTGCATTGTTTCTCTTTTGTTATTTTATTTGATATCAAAGGCATAAAGTAAACAAAGTATTATCAATATCTCTAAACTCCAGATCTAACGCAACGTGTTTCCGAAGTAAAGAACCAATTTCCGATTCTCTGACGCGTTTCTCATTTCGCGAGTCGCAGTTGCACAATAACAATCACCGTTTCGGATAATAGTTCGATCGTGCTTGCGAGAACTCCCGAGTTATAGTAGCGCATTTAAAACTGCATTTTCCGCCAATGCCCTTTCACTTTCGCGCTCTTTGTTCCCGTTGATTGGGCTGCTCTTCTCACGATAACAGAAAAAGCTATTGCGCCGTACTGTACCAGCCTTTCACCCAAACGAATTGGTATATCCTGCCATTTATTTCCTCCGGATATTCAACGAAAAATGCAAACGCGTTGAAACTTTTATTCGGACATTGTTTTTAATCCTCTGCAGTCAGTCTTATATTCGTTGAATTTTTGCCGCATTCAATAGAATTTAGAATTTTTCGAATGTTTTTAAAGACCAAACAGTCACATTTCTTTCAACAATTTTCGATTGAAAAATCATTTTGCGTGACTGCTCCTTGCTTTACAAGTACATCGATAATTACCACCGTCGCGTGATAATCCAAAAAATCAGCAGCCATGACTGTGCACGACATGATTCAAAGACACGTGTCACCATCGCGACACCTCGTTCTCGCTTTAATGCTGCCTAATTACACGCTTTTCTTACGCGTGCGATGCAAGATAACGCTAGTTGAACTATTATTTTCCAACCTCTCTTCCGCGAGAACTAATCTTGTTGCGCGCGTGTTTCGTAAGTAACATCGTTGTCCTAAATGCATACATTATTCAAATCTGCTCAAATACGTAGGCCACCGGTATAGCTTTCCAAGACTGTATATCGTCAACCGCGTTAAGTAACAAAAATTTCGTTTACCAAAGAATGAGCGACCTAAAGTCGCAGGCAGTTTATAAACGTGGGGAACGCATTCGCTCGCAACAGACACAGTTTACGTACCCGTGAATGATATCGACACGCAAGGTTCGAGGTGTGCGAATGTCGATCGATATTAACTTGGAAACGTTGATGCCAAGTTGAAACGAAACTACCAACTCGCGTGTTTCCTATATGAGCGATAAATTAACGACCGTGATGCCTTTTAGGTTTTTACATGTACACTTTTCCGCGGAAAGTTTCGCGTTCTAATAAACCAGTTTCGTCCAATTTACCTCTAATGGAGTACGGTACTTTCTCCGTGCGAACGATAAACGTAATAATGGTAATGCCTAATCGACTCGTCTTAACCGTAATAGGCAGCAAAGAGAGAACTTTTGCTCAATTTGTTACATATGTTTCCATCAGAATTCACGTTGGAATAGAAATTACGGAAAATCGCTATTTTCTCTTTTGACAAACATTCCGAGCCTAACTAAAATTACTATATATATAAAGTTATCAGTCTAGAACCCTTCTACGTTACGCGATTTCGCTTTTGTATTTTACTTTCTGCCACGGTGTATCGTTTGTCAGGTGATTTAGTACAACGCGTATGCAAACGTAACGTTGGCGAAATAAAGTTGTTATTAGATCGTTAGACTACCATCAGACAATGTAGCGTTTAAGGAAATATGAAATGCGTCGAAGCGATTGCATTCTAGAGATGCCATTCCAAGAGAAACGTTGGCACTCTATCCGAATAGCGTCCACGATGCACCAGGAAGAGTTGCATTCATAGCCGCGATGGCGTGTCGATATGCAGGCCACGTCGATTTATTGTTTGTTGTAAAAACACGGAACGCCTCGCACTTTTACCTTTTTGTTCGGCTTTTGCGCACGCGACGACGTTCTTCTTCGTCTACTCGAATTTCTCCGTGCTTTCCGTTCTGTTTACGATTCTTCTTTTTCTGCGCTGTTTTCACTTAATTCCGTCTCCCGTTTACTCTCCCGACGGTCATCCAACGTAACACAGCATAGTTTCATGGTTGTCTGAATTCAAAAATGAAAAAAAAAAAAAAAATGTATACACACATTGGCCTCTGTTCCGCTTTGTAGCTGTTGCCACAAACGGCGATGTGGTCATTCTAAACGAAACACCGAACCGAGACTAGACAATAAAATGTGTTCGCACGATCCTTTGTTTCACAGATAATCGATTTTGAAACACGCGCGCGATGTTGAGTAAGACTCGTTCGAGGCGTCTGATCATTGCTCGCTGAGTCTACTTATTTCAGTAGTCACAGGCAACGTAATCACTTCTTATGCATTCGTCTTTGTTCTTATTAACCCTTTTCTGTTTCGTCCATTCCCTTTCGTCCTTTCTACGAATAGACTGCAAACACGGATGATCGTATCTCCAAACACAGCCTCGAGGATCGCAATCGAGGTGTCTTCGTCTCATCAAGTTGGTACACACATCGGAGTTTGATCAGCCGATCCGTCAGTGTCTCGAGCATTCGGAATATCTCCTCTCGTTTCTCTTCGTTCCATGCTTCGACTTTCCATTACCGTCGCTTTCTCACCTTCCCGCTGGAAACCTAATCATTTCCCCGGGTTCTGTTCACTTTTCTCTCTTCTCTTTCAACCGCTCTCGACCTTCCTCGTTATTCCGCTTCATTTCTCTTTCTTCTCCACCGATTCCACGCTTCTTCATCCTCCGCTCATGTTTTCCCGTTCCATCGATCATTTCGCTCTCTTTTTCGTCCATCTTGCGACCCTTCCTCCCCTCTCATTTCCGTCTCCTATTGCATGGATAGCAGCCATAGAATCGCGTTACTCGACTTCCTTAATTTGCATGCTAATAGAGGCGCGGATAATTAAAGGCCCATTGTTGCACATGGAAGACCGGGCTCGCGCAACTCGAGCGTGTAAATTTTCCTGCATTCCGCGCGCACACTTTCGCCTGGTTTCAGCGTCGAGGGGCTACAGGACGGTTGTAAATATTTCACGATCTGTCCAATGGACGACGGATCAATCGTTACCGTCCCACGATTCATTAACTATTTAGGTTTCGAGTACTTTGAACCCATGCACGCTACCTTCTCCGTTTTCCTCGCGACTCTTCGCTACCAGACGATACAGTCAAATATCGCAGCACGTTCCTTCGATGGAAAAGCATTCCAGGGGAACGCGAGCATCTTCCTCGGCGTGAACGTGGCACGAAAGATCCAACGTTCAGCTTCAAACCTATACAACGAATCGAAAAGTAA